TGAATGCCAAACCCTTCTCCCCCAAATTATCTGATTCCATGGTAAAAAGATAAAAATCTATAAAACTGCGACGAAGAATTATTCTTTCGATGGAACAATTCAAAACCAACGCGATGAAGTTCTCTCGATGGAAAAAAATTAAAAACAAAAGAAGTTGAAGGACTCTTTGAGTAACTTACTACCCAAGAAAAACTGCCACGATGAATTTTCTCTCGATGGAATAAATTTCAAAAAAAAAGTTGAAGGACTCTTAAGTAACTTACCACCGCGATGAATTTTCTCTTGATGGAATAAATTGAAACAAAAAAAAATCGAAGGACTCTGAGTAACTTACACCCAATAAACACTGCCACGATGAATATTCTCTTGAGATGGAATAAACTGAAAACCAAAACAAATTTGAGGTACTTTGTGAGAAACTACAACATCGGGAACAACCGCCCCGAAGACTTTTCCTTTGATGGACCATGCATGAGATACGGAAATATCAAGACGCGAGGCTCGAGCCATAGCAATCTCGATGCAGCGACGACAGCTACCCACGTGCACCACTCCCATCACGCTAATGTAATTATCCATCCAATCCCCCGGCCACAAAAACATGACTTGTCAACTTCTCGTTTAACGTGTACCAGTGGTAAGGTTTATGAAACACGTATTCGTAGCTCACAGTCGGCCCAAGCCAACACCTCCCGCAAATAGTGGAGGTTTCATGACAAGATGGATGCACCGATGCTATTCGAGATGCACTCTCCATGGGCACCTGCCATATACCATCAACACGGCCATGGCCCCGCCCCTCGCACGCAAAACATTAAAACATGTCGTTGAGGTATGCTTCAAGATCATCATCCTGGACGTAAACGTCTGCCGCCGGGGTCTCCGGCACAACGAGGCTGTCCTTCTCGACGTAGTAGGGGGCGAGGAAGCGCATGATCTCCGGCTTGTGGAAGTCGGAGCTGGGGATGGTAAGGATCGCCGCCGTGCAGCGTCGCGGTCCAGTCATGAACTGGAACAAGTTGTACCATAGGCTGGGCCAGGCCGTCGTGGGGAAGAGGGGGGGTGCGCACCAATTCGGATCAGTTGTTTGTCGCTCCACATGTGTGCTACACATGGTCATCAACAGCCATCATGAAGAGTAAAAGTTTCTTCTAATATACCGCCATCCAAAACACGTATGGTACGGATAGAAAATATTATTGTCGCAACCATAACGGAGGTTAACTCTAATCTATCTTTTCTGTGGGAGACGCTAACGTACCCTAATACTACTGTAACTCCGGGAATGCAGGTCATTGGGATCATCGCTTACCTCTCTTGGAAGGCTCGGGCGTTGGCGGAACCAAAGCCGCCGGCAGATAGCTTGATCCAGGTTCTCGACTTCCGGGTGACCTTGCAGACAATTGTCTCGTGGGTTCCGATCTCGTTGACCGGAAGGGCCGCGATATCGTTAGCTGCGTGCAGCAATGCGGGAGTGACAACCTGATGTGCAATTGAGGGTCATCAAGAGGATGAGGGGGAAGACAAAAGAAGGGTGTCATCAAGAGGACGAGGGGAAAGACGAAACCAGAGCCCACAAAAAAATGCCATGGGAAGTCCTTCAACTTGCTACCGCTCGCCCGCGCTACCGGAGGCATACAATGTGGGCTCTAGTCCTGGAATACGATGACCTGTTCGGGTTGCAGGCACATGCTGGCAGCCTGCGTCGCGTTAACCCTTTCGTGACTGGGTTCTTTCTGGATCTTCCGCGTTTTTTTTTGTTCTGCCGGGACCGAATAGACCGATGAGTCATGAGACACACACACACGACACCTGCACTTGAACGTTTGCACGTTTGTTTGCGCACCAACAGGTTCCCACATGGGTCAACCGCACGCACCCCATGGTGCCACAAAGGTTTAGTGCCCAACAGCAGCGTAACCCTCACGTGAAGAATGTGATGAGTGACCGATAACTACACTGACTGCTGTACTGCTGTATGTAGGTGCTGTCGGAAACCGGAGGAGAGAGAGAGGAGAGGGCGCCGTATTTCTTTACCCCAAACACGATTACATGGTGATAGTCTACATGGATACAGCAGCAGCAGTAGAGATACATCGCATGCACAGCAGTTCTACCCCGCCGCCGATGCAGCACACTGGCGCAAGGCATGGCACCGCCTCCAATGCCACTTGGTTGGGTGGTAAATCCAGCGGAGACAAGAAGCACACACGCACGCGGTTTGTTTGTTGGATGCATGCATGCGAAACGAAATGAAAAAGCACCAGCAGCAGCAGCAGCAGCCCGCCGCAGCAGCAGCAGCAAGCACGAGCCGCGCGAGAGATAAACTATGCCTTGTGGTGGCGGTTGGTTGAAGACGGACAAGGAATACACTCGAACACACACGCGCGCAGGAGAACTCGGGGAGAGGCCTCGTAAGCTTGGCCTTCAGTTCTGCAACCACATTCCGAAGGCAAGGAAGAAGGCACACAAGTCAACAGCGAGAGCATGCTTTATCGTACCAGATAAAGACAGGTTTTATCATGCCTCCTATCGTGCCTGTAGTCACGAAAACCCTCTCAAAAACGCGAAGGCACGGGGGCGGGTGTCTCTTTTTGACACTTTGTCACTCCGCCACAGCCTGCCAGCACAACAGCAGCAACAACAGCAGTACAGCAGTACCAACATCACCACCATGGACCCAGAGGACATCGCTCAGTTCTGGGAGGCCAAAGCGGCTGAGTGGGACCCAGTGAATGCTCCCCTAGTTGTGTGGGACGAGCTGGTTCTCATCGCGGACACAACACCCCAGCTCCTGCCCGAGGCGACATCTGCTGCAGCCAGGGCGGTTGGGAAGCGGTTCTGCTGCCACGGGGACAACGAGCCCCAGCCCCTCCCAGACATAAGGGACCTGGCAGCAAGGAGGACCGCAGCTCAGCAGCACCCCCGGACTCTGCGGGTACCACCACTCCCGCTGGATCGGGGATGTAGATTTCTCAAAGGCAGCCGAGAGGAGCTCGGGGGGGCAGGTCACAGCGAAGCGTCTGAGGAATCAAGTAAGTATAGTACAATTGATATTTGGCAACCCCACAAATGATGGGCTGCTGACCCAGATCGGTTGTGCACCTGCTGTGCGCGTTGCACCTCGTGTATTATAGGTGTGCTTCACGTTCAGCTTTGTTTGACATGGTGGCTTGTAAGAGTGCTACAACAGCAGTACACTAGGCCCACAAACTTCAACCTGGACTAACGTGCGTGTGTTTTTCGAGCCTGCGGATCAATGCAGCTGCCAGACAGATCATATCACCACACGAAGTAGACAGGAAAGAGGGATGAGAGACCTGAAAGACGCGTTTACAGCAACCCTATCCCTATGAACCTCCGCAATGCTCAGCAAATGCTCTGGAAAGACAAGCGGCGCCCAGCGCGTCGACTCCCCTTTTGAGACAGATATGGTGTTATCTTCCGTATCAGTTAGGTTGGAGACTCTCCCATTTCGTACGAATAGGCTGGCAGCCCGCAGCTTTGTACTCCCCGCATTAGACAGTAGTAGGGGTAACGATGTACTGGGGAGGCCGAGCATAATTTTCTGTCTTGTCCGAAGTTAGGTTTTGTAATCCGAACGGGCGGTTAGTAGTCCGAACGGAGAAAAAGACGCACGCGCCGCCCCATTGCGTGAACGTCTGTCTCTCACAGATACTGCATGCCACGTAACGTTTGTTGGCTCTCCATTTTCCCACGAAAGACTGGAGTGCACGCTCTAAAAAAACAAGCCTACGTCGTCGTTTTTTCCCCCGCAACGTGCAGGCTTCGTTCGACGTGAGCACCCGCCTCAACGCGAGGGGTCGTGGCGTTCAAATCACGAGGAGGGACTGCTTCACGCAGGCGTGCCGCGCGGTGTGGCCGGGAGACGAAGCCATACCAGCGGCCATTGCGGAGGCATTGTCGTGATTCTCGAGCGCGTGTTTTAGGCTGATCATGGAGCCTGAGGGGTGGGGTGGGGGGGTGGAGAGGGTTTCGTACTTACAAGAGTTTCGAGCAGACCCTCAAGGTTTGCGCTTGGCTAGTTTGCAGGGCGTCGTGCCCCCGCATGACTTTGAGTTCGCTGGGTTTGTCGTTCAATTCGCTGGGGTTATTTGGAGAAAGAGTGCTGCAAGGCACAACTCGGTGGAACAACCGATGGTGCAATGGTGTGATCTGAAAATTCCGTATGTTTCGTCGCATGTTGCAGGCGCACTCGCCGGGAGATGTGTATTGCATTTTCGCAGAGATCAGCGCCTTGGTTTCGAGATGAAGAAATGGAATAAACATGGAACAAATGATCTTGCAAGTATTCACGACTTGATCGCATGAAGGTCTCCGGAATGTCTGTCATTGGCACACGGTTGGATTCCGATGCCGTTTGCGGTCTCTGAACTACTGGTGAGCACCACCGGCACGTGGTGTGTATGACGTTGTCGCACGAAAGGACTAGACTACACCGCACGCAGTGAAAAAACTAAAGTGCCAGGAAAACGTTGTTTATCTAGATGCCGAAGACTTCTTTCGATTTTATCTGCAAACCTTGGTATCTGCAAACCTTGTACACTTCGTACTCCATTCCTTGTCTACGTGCGAACATGTCTGTCGACCAAAGCACGGGATACCGACGCCAAACCTAAGGCTCTTGCCACATAGGTTTCGGGTTAAAAACGACACACAACGAGCGATACACGAGCCGTGGCTAATCGCAACAACACTGACAGTAGTTACAAGGGAATGGGGGTTAAAGGGGGGGGGGCTAAAAACTCACTACCGCAGGTGACACCGCCGGCGCCCACCAACAGTTGCCCGACAAGCACTCTTCACCGCATATCCCGGAGGACGCTTCAGACT